AAGGAAAAATTGAAGTTTCCATTTAAATTTCCTAAATTTTGGTAGATTTTCACCTTTGTACAATGGGAGTGTATTATTATTTTAATCACAAAAGATACATTCAATTACTTAATTAACCTCTAAAAAAATGTATATTAAAAAGATACATATAATTTTTTAAATCTATGTTATTCAAAAAAGTATTCCTAATGGTATCGAAATAATATTATACTCAAGTAAGAAATTCTATAATAACTCTGTGACTAAGTTGATTTTAATGTATGTTCTTTTACAATTTTTCATGTTTACAAAGCTGTAAAAAATAATTTTAATTTTAAAATTCATTATATGCGACTTAAAAATAAATTATTGTAATATTTGTTAAAACTATTCATTTTTTTGCTTACTTTTATTTAAACTTTGCCTGGATAGATTTCTAGTATAGTATTTTAAAAAAAATATAGTTTAAAAAAACTAAAAAAACACGCTTTTAAAGCACATCGAACTAAAAAGTTAAAAATAATTTTTAAAATAATTATGAACAAAAAATACTAGTATTATTGTGATAAAAGCGTGGGTGCTTTGTGCCATATTTTTCGTATATTGAGCGCCCGACGCTTTTATCACAATAATACTAGTATTTTTTGTTCATAATTATTTTAAAAATTATTTTTAACTTTTTAGTTCGATGTACTTTAANACTAGCTTATTTAATAGATAAATGATCTAATTTTGAAAACCCATCCGTTTGTGTTTAAAATTAAGATTTTGTTTAATGATTTGGATTTCGAATTAAAATTTATCATTGATTTGATTGTATAATATCAATGCAGCAATAATTTGTTTCGATAGCGCATAAATAATTTTTTATGNTCAATGCAGCAATAATTTGTTTCGATAGCGCATAAATAATTTTTTATGGTAATTATCAAGAAAATTTCTGTTATCTTAACAATCAACTCTGTTTAACATTTTTAATAGAAGAACGGTTCGTTTAATAAGATATATTACGGGAATAAAATTTTTTGAAATAATTTTTTCTATTATATTACCAAGTTTTATTTTTAACTTGATCATATAATAGAAAAAAGGTTGGGATTAAGGCGAGAATATATATGAAGAATATATATATTATTATAGTTTTAATATATTATTTTTGTTAGAATTAAAAATGTTCAATAACAGTCGAGAAAATGAGTTTCTTGACAGATTTCAGTAACTTGTGATTAATTTATATTTATGAAATAATATTCTCATGATTTTGTTAAATAAGCTTAATTGCTGAAAAAAAGAAATAATTATCGTGAAAAAACCTTCGAATGTCTTTTAAAAATTTTTAAATTAATTTTTTCTTTTTAATTACTTAGTAGAATAATTTAAAATAATGTAAAATACAGCCAAAAGGCTACTATTAATTCAATTTCACGCAGTCATATATTTCAATAAATTTCACATAAAATTATTTGCTTCGAAAAGTTTTTTATAAATATGTAATTCAATAATTTTCGTAGCTAAAAAAAATTCTAATTTTTCCCAATTTTAACGGTTATTTAATTTTGACATATTTTTCTAAATTTCAAAATTTAGTAATTTTTACAATTTGTTGGTAGGTTCAATTGCATCAAAATTGAGTTCTTTTGACGTATAGATCATCATCGTGAGAGCTGAGTATATATAAATATAGACAGACATAAAAAAAAACCACATCTCTCGCCATACCAGTCTGCAAAAGCGAATCAACATAATGGGAACCTTGCGTTTAAGTCACATACCATATTGACATAGATCAATAAACCATGTCGCAAGTGACATGATATATTTCGAGGCTCAAGCCTCAAAAGATCAGAAATATACGCATAGTGGGACTTGTCTAAATGAAACAGGTCAAAATGATTGTGTTTCACTTGGTTAGCGATTCAAAGCGAAACCACCAACCACTTCATCTTAATATCGTTCCAAGTCCTACATGTTTGCGGGAACGTCAGGGTTGTGTTGATTTAATTTTTAAATTGGGACACAGGCTTGGGGAACTCTAACCTCGAAATTAGTACCAAAATACCCAAATAAGACGGAAATACGCGAGTGTTCGGCGCCATGGGTGCTTTTTTTACAGTGTTAACCCGTCTATAATACTTTTTATTTTCTACATGTATTTAAAAAATTTTTTTCAATCCTCAAAATTTTCATACAAGCAGCAAAATTAAATAAATAGGTATTTCGAATCACATCTAATTGCACAGATGCAATCTTTTTATTTCATGATTAATTTATTATATGACACATGTAAGTTCTCAAAAAATAAAATGTATTTAGTCAACATATTTATTAAGCCACTACTATTTATTTTCGTTAAACAAAAATAACATCGTCAACTATTAAGCTGCCAAAGTCAGTAAAATTTATTGTTTTGTTTTGAATGACGATATCTTTTATTAATAAATCATATTGTGCGTCGTATTTCTTATTTTAAGAACTTATTATAATTTAAAACTTACAAAAAATACTNGGACTTATTATAATTTAAAATTTACACAAAATACTACAATATTAATATAATGAATATATTGCTGAAAGTTTGACGAATGAAGTCATATGAATTTAAGGGTTAAATATCTTTTAATGTAAAAAATAAAATTACTGGAAATTTTCAACATGCACTAGAAATACAAATAAATTAAATACTTGTAGTCGCTTAACACGATGTCAATATGATTTATGTTTTTATCATGACCGATTTAGCTATAAAAAACAACATTGTGTTCCATATTGCTCTTTTAAATCGGAAAACTGAAGCGCTCGGCGGCGGAGTCCTTGACGCCCCCGCCGCGGAACCGAGGCGACGCGATTTTGTTGCTCACATACGTTCAGGTCGTCGCTTTTTTGTCGAAACCGGCGCCGAGATTTCAGTCATACTACCGATCGGCGCACCACACGCCAACTCGAACATCATCCTCACCGCGGCAAACGGCACACGCATTCGTACTTATGGAAAAAGGACACTGCGTTTAGATTNCATACGCCAACTCGAACATCATCCTCACCGCGGCAAACGGCACACGCATTCGTACTTATGGAAAAAGGACACAGCGTTTAGATTTTGGTTTTCCTTGTACGTTCGTGTGGGATTTTGTCGCGGCCCATAATAAGCGCAGATTTTTTACATTATTGTGTCTTATTAGTTGACATTAAACGAAATCGACTTATAGATGCTACACATCGCACGGGTATTACTACATTAGCGAAAGACAGTTTTATGTCAACCCTACAAGTACAGCGGTTGTAACAGTGGTCTAGCATTATCAAAGACTACCCCGACGTCACTCGCAAGTCACCGGTGCCCAGTAGTTATGCACACAATGTTGTTCATGATCTCGTTACCACCGGTCCCAAGCCGCCTACTTTAGCACCCGTTATTTTGTGCATTTTATCATTTATAATTTATATTTTATGGCCGCAAGAGAGCACTGCTCACGGACCACAAACCCCTCACATATATGTTTACTCATAGAAGTGAAAAATACGTCGACCGACAAGTGCGACATATCTCTTTTCTGTCCCAGTTCATCCACGACATCGAATACATCCACGGTCAGTACCACTCTTAGTCGAACGGTATGTTTGAAAGATTCCATCGTACGCTTAACGACGCGCCCACCGGATCTGGTCAGTAAGCTAAACAAGCCATGTCCGAGTTGCGGCCGACGGCGGGAACTAACCACGATACGCACCGCGCCGTGTTTATACCTACGTCATTGGAAACGGTCAGCCACGTTTTCGTTCATACTGATGCTGTTCAACCCCTACAGCCTAAATATGAAGGGCCTTCGGGGTTTTTGAACGCGGAGATAAAGTGTTCCGGATGCAACGTGCAAANTATTCCGGATTCAACGTGCAAACACAACTCCATGGATTTCTGTTGATAGCTTGAAGCCTGTCTTTGTCCAACGCGAGGATCCGTTATTAGACCACACATACACTGCTCAAACAGTAGAAGTGCTACTGAAAAAAGAGTTCGTTTTTTGTTTACCGGTGAAGTACTGTGGCTGCACACAGCCACCACCTTTAGTGTTATCTCGACTCGTTATTGTTTCACCGCGCTCGCCCGAACGACGAATACATATATATTTTTTCTATTTCTTATTTGTTCAATTATTATTATTTTTAGTTTCTAATAAACAATCATTAATGCCTTTGGCGTTGACTTTAATTTCTGTGTGTTGTTTATAATCTTTCAGTAACAAGTTCCATAAACAATTACATTGGAGGCCATAACCTACAAATAACTAAACTATATATTCTGCCTAATAATTTTAAAAGGAACAACTCACCGGCCTGTTATAAGCCAAATGCAGTGATACCACTGCAAACTTTTAAAAATGAAGTTAAAATCTTAAATTTCCATAAGAACTACTTCAATACCAAGCCTAAATCTACAAATTATTTCAATAATTGAAAAAATTTGTAGTAACAAATTAAACTACATTGATGGTCAAAATTTGATCTTTAATGTACAATAGTATAAAAAAAAACGTTGTTGTAATAATAAAATAATATTTATTTAATACAAATATAACGTTAACTAATAAATTTTAAGAAATCAATAATTAGCATAATTCAAATTCAAAAAATTTTATCGAATCCCATATCTTTAAAATCAATGTCAATAGAGTTTTTGCAGAATGTGGATAATTCAATACAGGCATTTAGATGATCATCTATTGATTTAATATCCGTTAAATCATCATTTTTCTTCATAATTTTTTCTGGATTACTAATAACTGGACTAGATTTCTCTAGAAATTGACAGCGTATAACTAGAGGCTTCGATTTTCTATATAATTCTTCGTTTAAAATTGTTCTTTTATGAATCATATCTTTTAGATAATTATATGCCTTAGTCATGAGAAACGGTTCTGTATTTTCTTTAAAAACATCTTCATACAAATAATCATTATTAAACGTTTCAATAAAGTATTCTAAAAATTTTTCAGTGGATGATAAAGAGATACGAACACTAGTAACTTCCCAAATTGATACATCTTTTAAGTGTTTCACTACCGAATAGATTTTATTGAAAAAATATTTTGAGCTTTTACTTATTTCATATAAGTTTTTTATACAATTAATGTATGTTAATAAATATAGATAAGTAGTTTTGCTTAATTGATTACAATACAGTACAATGGGAGAAAAATATGAATAAAAATTTGAAAACATTTCAAAAAATCTACACTTTAACAATTGTAATATGTATTGTTTTTTGAGATTAAAGCCATGCATACTAACTGGATCTCTTACTATGCGGTTTGCACTTATAACTAGTCCATGATGAATAATTGATATGTGATCGATATTTTTCCATTCTCCTTCATCGACAAGTCTTTTTAAAGTTGTTAATTCATTATCAAGAGGTAATGGTTCTTCTTGTGGAGGTATCAGTTGTTTTACGCTACAATGAAAAATAAGTGAAAAATTATTTTAGCATTATTAGTATTCATATATCATCATAATTTTTCTTCATATTTAATTATAATTTGACTACATATAAAGTACAATTTATTGAGACTATTACTTCCAATTCTGTGTTTTTTTTATTTATTTATATTTTTTTTTTTGTGTCTTTACCACTTTTTCTCAGCTCTCACCAAAACGGTTTCTTTCAATGATACGTCAAAAGATCAAAAATCATATCTAGTCAAAGATATTATACTCAAAAATTGAAAAAATTTTGCTCGTTCCTTATAAATGGGGGAAACCTTCCAAAAAATTATAAATTTTAAAATCGCTAATTTTCGAAATTTTTTCAATATTTTTTTTCTTAAAACTGTCATAACTTTTTCAAAAATGACCAACTCAATATAATTTTTTTTAAAGATGCTTGATGTCTTTAACTATCATTTGGTATATCTTTTTTATAAATTTGACCCTTTAACTTAATCTTTAATGAATTAAATAAAAACGATGAGTAATATAAGAATTTTACAAGATACCTTTTTTCTTAAAAATGTTATTTTAGATATATTTTATTATATCAAACCAACTATATTGAACATATATAATATGAGTATTTTGAATTTATATGTAAATAAGATNCCAACTATATTGAACATATATAATATGAGTATTTTGAATTTATATGTAAATAAGATTATATGAAAAAATAATTTTTTTGTACAAAATATTTTGTATATTTTAAATTTTAGAACATATTTAGCTCTACAAATTCGGCTCTTAATATTTTATTGCAGAAGTTGTTGTTTTTGAAATATTAGCTAAAAACAAAAAAATTACCCTATTAGTTCAATTTTTAACCTTTTATGACAAGGGAATGAGTTGACTAATAGGGATGAAACTTCATCAAAAATTTGTATTTATAATAATAAAAAAATTAGGATATCTTGCAAACAAATAATTAAAATTTTTTTGGAAGACCCATAATTATAGAGTCATTTTTTTAATAAGCCATTTAATCACCAACAAATAAAAAATAATTTAAACATTTTTTTTTTGTTTACCTTTAATTACATATTATTCTTGATCTATTAGCTATGTAATACTTTTTAAGTTACAAATCTCGTATTTAGTATTTTTGGTGATTTATTTTTCAATAAATATTAATTATAACTGGAGAATGTACCTTTTGCTGGTAGCTAAACTTTTATATCTTACATTTTTTATTTTATTATAACTATAAAATTGTCCATTAATATTAATATTTGGAACAGTATTTCAGAAATTATTAAACATTTAAAGTATAACTGGCGGTGAGGATTGGGTGCTGCTATATTTATTATCAGAAATTCCCCTACAGTACTCTTCGACACGCCTAGGTATAAAAATGAGAATAACTTTAAAAGTACTGGTTCAAAAAATGTTATTGATCAGTAATTTTTTTAGTAAGATTATTTTCTATTTGTAACCTAATTAGGTTCCTATAAGTTAAAAGAGTTGTTTCTAAAAAGTCATTATTAGCTGATAAATAAAAAAAATAAATACAATTAAAATAGTTCAAAAATAATTTATTTAATATTGTATTTCTAATTTATACTTAATATTTTAAAAGTAATCGAGTGGTTTATATAAATATATATTCAGGGTGATTCATTTAGAATAAGACACTTGTTTACTCAGTACCTATTAAAAATTTTAAATTTTTGGTAAGGAAAAAATTATTTGATTCATAAGGCACTGCAATAATATGTAGTAAAAACATGATATTTTTCATCCTTTCAAGGTTAAAAAACATTAAATTGAGTTTTTTTAAATGAGAACACATATTTTGAATTTAATGTTTAAGTTTTTAATTTAATAGCAAATGGCATTTGAATTTTTAATATAACTTTATTCGTTTATTAGATATAAACATTTAAAGTTTCAAAATTTTGAGTTAATATACATGTATAATACATAAGGGATTACAAATACAGATAGCTAATTGGTTTTTTATGACATTGCTGTCAAAGTCACGGATTATTTATTATCAATTATGACTATTAATAGATATACTTTCTGTATTGTCAGTTAGTGTATCTATTAACTCACAACAATGTGCCTTACTACCATTGATAATAACAATGCTGTGTACCTGCTAATATCGATGTTATAAAAAACCATTTAGCTACCTATATTTTTAATACCTTATAATATGTATTATACATGTATATTAACTCAAAATTTTGAAACTTTAAATGTTTATATCTAATAAACGAATAAAGTTATATTAAAAATTCAAATGCCATTTGCTATTAAATTAAAAACNATTCAAATGTCATTTGCTATTAAATTAAAAACTTAAACATTAAATTCAAAATATGTGTTCTCATTTAAAAAAACTCAAGTTCATGTTTTTTAACCTTGAAAGGATGAAAAATATCATGTTTTTACTACATATTATTGCAGTGCCTTATGAATCAAATAATTTTTTCCTTACCAAAAATTTAAAATTTTCAATAGTTACTGAGTAAACAAGTGTCTTATTCTGAATGAATCACCCTGTTTACAGGGTGAATGAAATCTGGTAAGACACTCATTTTCTCAAAAAATATTTAGAATTTTTAATTTTATTATAGAGAAAAATATTAAGTTCAAAAAGCTCTACAATAATATGTAGTCAAACCATTTTTATTTTCGTCCCTACAAGGATAAAAACGCTTATTTATAATTTTCTTAAATGGGAACCCTTATTTTTAACTTTATAATATGATAAAAAGAAATTATAAAAATTTTGTTATAATTTTTTTTATCCGATTAACCGTTCGTCCGTTACAGCTTAAGTGATTTTAGGCCAAATTTNTTCAAGGATAAAAACGCTTATTTATAATTTTCTTAAATGGGAACCCTTATTTTTAACTTTATAATATGATAAAAAAAAAATTATAAAAATTTTGTTATAATTTTTTTTATCCGATTAACCGTTCGTCCGTTACAGCTTAAGTGATTTTAGGCCAAATTTCTATTGTCATTTTACTGTATTAAATACAGAAGTCATTATTTTTATTTGCTGTTGCATAAAAAAAATTTTATTGATCAAGTTATGACAGGTAAATTAGCTATAAATATTTACTACACACTAAATGAGTGATAACAATAATAAATTCAAACCGGGTTTTCGGTGTATTATTAATATCTAAGTCTATGGTTTTGTAAGACTAAAGGATCTAACAAAAATACCGGTTGCACTGCCACCGATATTGTAAAACGTAATAAATGACAATATTTTTTCTGGAAGTCAAAATCTTTAAACAATTATAAAACATAAACGGTTGTTCGGATAAAAAAAATTATAAGAACAAAATTGTTTGTAATTTTTTTTCTATCATATTATCAAATCAAAAATAGTGATTTCCATTTAAAAAAATTATAAATAATCATTTTTATCCCTGGAGGGATAAATAAAAATTTACTTAACATCATATTATTGTAGAGTTTTATAAACTTAATAATTTTTCTTTTTACAAAAATGTTAAATTCTCAATAGTTTCTGAGAAAATAAGTGTCTTCGATCACTCTGTATATATATTTAATAAAGTTTTAATGATAATATATTTTACTCTAATAATAATGAATAACTTGTAATGTGTTGATTATAATGTGATATAATTGTAATAAACTTTCTTCTTCTTGGTTTTAATATGACTAATTTCAATGTAACGAACTTTATATTCACTAAACTGTTATGTCGGTTTTTTTAAATTAGTTATATCGTGTGTTGTCATTATAATTATTGTNTTTTTAAATTAGTTATATCGTGTGTTGTCATTATAATTATTGTGTATATTAGTATGTAGAATGGTATGTATTTCTTCTTGAAGTTTATACATGAATATTATACATAAGAAAATATTTTACTAACTCTTCCAATGAAAACAAAAATGCATCAATAATACGTAATTATTTTCATAAGAGAGTTTCAAAATCTCATCCTCCTTTTAGTCAACCCTTATTTGATTAGTGTAATGTTGATTTTTTAAATAGTAACTTAAAAAAATGTCTATCAAAATATCTATTTTGACAACTACTATCGGAAAAAATACTTTAATATGGAAAATCAAAAGTAGAAAATTGGCGCTACCAAATGAAACAAATCAGAGCACGCTAATCTATTCCAATCAAAAACAATACAACAGTGATACATTTATCTCAAAATTGTTTTTTTTTCATAAAATATTTTTGAATTCAACCATTCAATGTTTTTAATAGATTTACATGCATAGTAATAAAAAGTTCTATTCATATAAGATATATATTTAATATTTTTTTTTGTGATATAAGGGCGATTGGGAGATTTTTTTTTAATTTAGAAGTACGATTCTAAATTAAATTTTGAATTTAATGAACATTGACAAATATCAAATGATTATTAATTTTTAATACTCATAATAGTGTACCATACATTACTGAATAAAATTACATGATTATCATTTTTGAGAGGACGTTAACAACCCCTAATATTCCCCTGGTTACAAACTTTTAAGATAGTAAATGAAAAAGTTTTTCTTACTTATATACGTCAGGGTTTAGTATTATGTCGAATTTGAAATTATCGTAATAATTTGTCTTTGTAATCTTATAAAATGAATTTAGACAATTTAATACAAAATGAAAAAAATCATTTTCAATAAATTCTTGGGAATGATATTCGTTTTTGTATTTAAACTTTAAATCAAGTCGCTGAGGTGTAACTAATAGTGCACTCATTTCATTTAAAACAGAAATTGCTCTTTCAGTCACCTTCTTAATAAGTTCTTTTGTATTAATAATGACTACTAGTGCTTCATTTACTTTAGCGATATATTCATCTTCGTTGTTAGCAAGCCATGAATGATCTTTTATTCGAATACTATCTATAAAATGCTTAACCAAATACACTTCATCAACTACTGTATATGGGTTACTTGTAATTTTTACAAAAACGCGTTTAACATCTAAATAACTTAAAAACCACATTACTTTGTATATACGATTGAACATTTCAGTAGATTTCTTCATTTCAATTTCAAGTATTGCTGTGCAATCCATAAAATTATTAAATAATTGTGCTGTTAAATAATTTTCACATTCTTCAATTAATATACCTACGTGTTCAACGAAAGTCTGTAGTATTTCTATGTATTTATAGTTAAATATATTCACGATGTAATTAAATATAAACAAAAAATTGCTTTTCTCAACTTTTTGTCTTAATAGCTCTTTATCTGAGTTCGAAATCAATAATTCGTTTATCATTAAGTTCCATTTTGTTTGATGACAAATGTGATCTACTACCTCAGTCAAATATTTAAAATAATTGTTTCTTACTAGGGTAGTATTGATGCATTCACAATTTTGATTTAATGTCAATTGAATTGAAATTACAAGAATGGTAAAAATTACTTTACACATTTTTTCATGTAATAGTTTAGATACAACTTTATAATGAAAAATATTCTACTATAATGCATTAATAATTTCATATTTATTGGAAATTTTTCTGTGTATATAGATCGATTCGAGTACATTAATTTAAAATATATTTTATTAAAAACACCTTAAACTTATCCCAAAAAAAATTATTTAGAAAAGTCAATATTTAATCTTAAGATCAATTTTCACTCTATGCGTCATATAAACTAAAATATCAAATAGAATAAATAAATTGTTTGCCATCATATCGTATAATTTTTCTATTTTTTCTTATTAAACTGAATTTATTTAAAATGAGTAGTAATTTTCATAAGCGGAGATCCTGTTAAATATTACGGAGCTTACTTAAATTTTGAGTAGCAGATAGAAACATGAGGCCTTCGCCCTGACACCTCTAACCATAAATGTATATATGAAATATTTTTACACATTGTATATTTTTCTATGTCATTTTATTTACAATAAAACTGCAACAATACATTTTGGGAAATATGTATAAAATTAAGTTACATAATAAATATACCTATTATTAAACAGTACTTCTAGCTTCGATGCGAAGCTGAGAAGGTATTGGTTTTACTAAGATGTGTTTTTTTTTTTTGTGTCTGTTACCACTTTTTCTCAGTTCTCACCGAACCGATTTCTTTCAATGATACGTCAAAAGATCACAAATTGTATCTAGTCGAAGACATAACCTTCAAAAATTGAACAAAATTCCCCCGTTCCCCGTAAATGGGGGAAACCTCCAAAAAAATTACAAATTTAAAAATGGCTAATTTTCGAAATTTTTTCAATTTTTTTTGCTAAAAACTGCCGTAACCTTTTTAAAAATAAACATATCAATATAATTTTTTTATAGATTTATGATGTGATTACCTATCATTTGGTATATTTTTTTATAAATTTGACTTTTTTCCTGCCCACAGGGAGGGATTTAAAATGACAACTTTTTCACAAAAAATTGACTTTTTCAACTTAAATTTTGAAAGTGTTCCGGAAAGTCTGACACTNCAACCCTTTCACTTGGTATGGCTGGGTTAGGGGGGCCTATTCGCTGTTAGCAAGCAGGTATGCCCAGGCCTACCGGTCCCAACTAACCAAAGTCATGACCGGCTAAGAGCAGTGGTACGTGTTGCCACCCCCACTGAAATAACTAGGGTCCGCGGGGTTGTTAGGCCCGTAATCCTTGCGGATTCCCCTGCGGGATTACAAATTTGTTAGTTCATATAGTTATTTGAACGGATTTCACTGGTGACAGCAGTGAATTTTTACCTGGGTTATTCATAGTTACGTGTTAGCGGGATTAGATTTAGTCTGGTCTCTGGGAAAATTTTCTTTTATAAAAATAAAGTCAGAGCAGTTTATCTAATATAATCCGCCGTAGGTATTGTCGTTTAAAAGTGTTGGTTACGTTTGTTATAAAGACTTTATTGATATATCGACAAGAAGTGAATTTCTGGCCGATAGTTACAGTCTTTTGGNAAAGTGAATTTCCGGCCGATAGTTACAGTCTTTTGGTAGATAAAAATCGTATATTTTTGTCTGACCTTGTCAAAGCGGCCGATTCTCAGGTAATCGTTATTATTATTGTTCACTCGCTGCCATATCATATACGGCGGCCCCGGACCATCTTATCGCGGTCATTATTACAACAATAGCAATAATAATAACACTTGTTTTCTACAGCAATAGTAAATTTTGACCGTACACGGAGATATTGTTTATCTCCGCTATTATAGTAACATACATTTGATTATTAGTATTGTAAATAAACAAAATATTCACGGTCAATATGTCGGGGAAAACTTTAGCACAAATGAATTGCGCTGAATTACGTCGCGAATGCGCTTTTAGACAGCTACCATGCTACGCGACAAAACCCAATATGCTAGTTATGCTGGAGGAAAACATACGTAGCGAAGGGAGGGACCCAGCTACNCAACTAGGTGCGCCGTACGTCGAGGACGTATACGTTATGCTATACGTATACGATAGCGCACGCGGCAGAACAAGTCGGGGCGATCCGACAGAACATTCGCGACATTTTGGATAACGCACGGATCGAGACACGGATGACTGAAGTAGAAAGTCGCTGTCGCGTATGTCATTGGAACAGCGACAGATTTCAAATATGCTGGAGCGACTCAGTCAGAATATGCTGCCGTCCCCACACGTTGCTGTCCAACCGACTATTCGTCAAGTTAACGTCGAACGAAACGATAGTCGACGATCGGACGCGCATCGCGTTACATTCGGTCCATCGGGAGCGACGGACCCGACACGCCACGACGCAACTTTACACGAGCGCCTCGCGGACATCGAAGCGCAGGAAGCCCGCAACATGAGACGATCGTACGGACAAGCGTCGCGCGCGTCGCTACCACGAATGAGTAGCACGGGTTGGCAAGACGAACATATTCCGCGCTCTCATACATATGAGAACGAGCCGACAGATTATTCGTTTACGCGCCAGCCACGGGAGGGGCAATCCAACACAACCGACGGTCGTCGGCCCTTCAATGATTTGTCGCCTACCCGCAGCTCGCGGTCTGTGCTGGTACCTTACCACGACCTACGCACCGTACGCGCCTGTTTACCTGAATATTACGGGAGAAACGAAGAGGACCCACGGGAGTTTCTAGACAGAGCGGAGGATCTACTCTGTCAGGGCGGTATACACCCAACTGCGTGGGTGAACATCGTCGTCCCGTTTTTGAACGACAGGGCAGGTGATTGGTGGCGAGCGATTAAATTAAATAATATGCCATGGGCGGAATTTAGGTCCGAATTACTCAAGGAGTTCGACAATATCGATATTCGGACGGCGCTCGAGACTTAAAAACGACGCAACAGGGCCCCCGACAAACGTTAACCAAATTTATTATTCATAAACAACGTTTGGCCCCGTGAGTACGTTGTGGGTTACCAGAACAACAACTTGTGCGACAGTTAACGGGGCTTTTACGGGACGATTGCCGCGCTATGATACGGTTAATGCACCCAGCGTCTTTCGCCGATCTACGTGAGATAGCGCATGACGTAGACAAAACCACGGCTCCTCGGTACGCTCCGTCAGCGTCCCGACAACCAGCCGAACTGCCTCCGCGGCATACCGCGCTACCAGCGGCCCGACAGCGAGCGGGTTATGCACACGCGGACGCACCGCCTACCCCGTGCCGATATTGCGGCGAGCGACACTGGCACCGCCAGTGCCCAAACAGACCGTCGGTATCGGGAAACGGCAATCGGCTAGGAGGGAATTAGTCCGCCCCTCCAGCCTACAACAGATTCAAACAGGGCGCAGCGTTTTAGACGACGTTTCGTTTAAAACGCGCCCTGCCGCTTCGCAATTTTTATTCGGTAACATACCACACAGCACGACCGTCGCGCAGAACACCGAATCTAACGGCCCTTACGGGTTACATACCGCCAACAATCTTGGCTCTTTTTCGGCACCGCACCCCTCTTATAGGAATGGAGGGGACGCCGCGGTAAATTCGGATGTAATCAGGGTATCGGAGTTCGAACACGCTGCGGACACGAACGAACAAAGCGCAAGTTAGGTGTTCAAAATTTTTTCGGGCACAGTGTGGGAGGGGGTGTCAGTCGATCCGGTTAGTCCACTAATGACAGTTAACACTGTCGGTGGGCAAACCGACGTCGCGGTTAAGAACCAGCAGTCCCTCGTTCGAACTGTAAACCACCCGAGTAATGGCCAACGAAAATGCCCGCGTAGAATTACAACTCCAGCAGTCGAATTAGAATTCGAAACTGGCTTTGTCTCAGCCCTACTCGACTCATAGGCGCATAATTCGTATGTAAAACCGGTAATTGCTTATAAATACAGAACTGTTTAAAAGGGACACACTGACGCGGTTAGACTAGCGGACGGACACACCGCCATGACGATCGATACCGCCACGTTTACCGCCAAAATCGCGGATTTAGAAGTGCGTTTTTCAGCGGTTATTTTAGACGACCTATATTGCGATGTATACTTGGCCATGATTTTCTGATGGATCTGAAAGTCGCCTGGGACTACTCAGCAGGAACAATACACTTAGGCAATAGAAAACGTACAATCGCTTGTTGGAAATCGGGCGCACGACACACGATCCGCAAACCAGATAAAGAAGGAGGAAGCTGAACGCCTGAGACAGAGGCAGCCGCGCCGCCCGGTACAGGAGGACCTAAGGCGCTGGTTTAGGCTGGCGCCTTAGGTACTAGTGTTTATATGTTTTATGTTTATGTGAGTTATTTTTTTAACGGAGGAGGCCACACCACGTTGTGAATCAGCCCGAAATTAATCAAGAGCTGATTCACAACGTGGTGGTGTGAGTTTTAGAGACGGCGTGGGCCGCCCTGAAGTAATACCTCACGGTAGTTCCAGGGCGGTCCANCCTCACGGTAGTTCCAGAGCGGTTGGGATATCGGGTGTGCGGTTGTATCTATAAAAAATGTTGGACTTTATTTTGTTTTCACGGTGAAAATGGCTATTGAAAGCTATTTTTGTGTGAAAATTCTCGATTTTATTTTGATCCAACTATGCCACGTGCTGCGACCCTTCTGTACTGGGTTACTTTTATTTTAAAATGATTGGCAGACATTATTATATTTAATATATTTTTATGCACTTAATTATCCATTATACTTTATAATAATTATGATTGTACATTACATTTATTTTTAATTAATAAATTATCTGATTCATTTAATTTAATAGCTCATTCCCAATAAAGTTTTAAAACTTGCCACAGAGGAGAGCTTTGTTAAATTTAGAAATGATCGTTGTTCTACTAGTTCTATAGTATCATTTCGAGGATTAATGACTGATTCAGAACTTAATGAGGCTAATAAAATTACAAATGTAAGTAGTATCCATTTAGTTAATACAATGTTTTAAAGAATTTACATTAGTTTATTGATAGTGAATAGAAACTTTGTGAAATAAACAAATTCATTATAAATATACAGTATGATTAATTAAGATCCCTACTTTTATGAGAAATAATTTTTTTTTTGTAAAATTTTATTTATTATTG